CCACTCCAGTATTCTTGCCTGGAAAAATCCTATGAAATGTAAGCTATAGCAAAAGCTTCTACTGTCTTAGACAACACATATATTGTCATGAACAGGATGTTGCTGCAAATACGAGGTATTAGACAAAAATGAGGAATGTGTTATTGGAAAATGAAAGAAAGATCATCATTATTAGAAAGCACAGAGGACTCAACCGAATTGTGTTATGCTGGATGGAAAACAGAACTTGTAAGTGATCATCTTGGATACAGGCATACCTCAGATATATTGCAGGTTCAGTTCAAAACCACCACAATAAAGCAAAGAGAGTCATAAAGCAAGTTACACAAATTGTTTGGTTTCCCAGTGTATATAAAAGTTATAGTTATACTATAATGTAATCAAAAGTATGCAAAACCATTATGTTTTTAAAAACCAATGTGTATACCTTAAAAGTATTGCTGAAAAATGCTAACCATCATCCGAGCCTTCAGTGAGTAGTAGGAGTGACATCAAAGATCACTGATCACAGACCCACTATCACAAGTATAAAAATAATGAAAAAGTTCCAAGTGAGAATTACCAAATGTGACACAAAGACAGGAAGTGAGCAAATGCCGTTAGAGAAATGGAACCAATAGGCTTTTTTGATGCAGGGTTGACACAAACCTTCAATTTGTAAAAACTGCACTATCTGTGAAGTGCAATAAAATGAAGCACAAAAAGATGAGGTATGCCTATATTTAGCTGAGGAGATTTCTAAGCAAAGTCCTGAAGGCATGGCCTGGTTTCTCTTTGCTGCTTACAGTAAAATGTAAGAGGAGGGAGATAGATTGAGGGAGCTGTTCAGCAAAAAGGAATCAGAACTTGAAGATTTGGGAAGTTCCCAGGCTGTCTGCAAAAAATGAGAAAGCATGTTCTGGAGAGCACACCAAGGGTTTAGCTAGACAACCTTGAAAAGATGAGGCATGAGACTTGTGGATCTGGTCAACCATTTCAGCAGAAATGCTGATAGCTTGGAGGGGACAGAGATGCAACAGGGTAAAGAAATGCTGTCAGACTTCTGGGATTCCAAAGGCAGGAAACAAGCTTTCAAGTAAAGGGAAGAATAACCCTGGGAATTCCAAAGGGTGGGGTAGCTTCCTTGGTTTTAGAGAGCAGGGCCCTCACTCAGGGCTCTCAAGAGGTGAGGCCACTACACCAGAGGGTCTAAAGGACAGAGCGTCTAACCAGAGCATTATTCTCAAGTATTAAAATCTAATGGAATTTGTCCTTCTAGGTTTTGGACTTTTCTGAAACTCATGATCTCTTTTTCTCCTTTCTGTAATGTAAATGTCTATCTTATGCCTGTTCCAACCACCATATACTGAAAGAAGATAACCAGTCTGGTTTTACAGATTCACAGATGAGTTCTGTCCCACGGTGAGTTATGCATGAGTTTTATTCATACCTGATTTAGATATTTAAGATTAGATTTTGAATTCAAGAGTTGATGCTGTAATGGGTTAGGATTTTGGGAGTGTTGGGATGTTATGAATTTATTATGCCTGTGAGAAGGACATGAATTTTTGGAGAACAGACTGTTATGCATTGAATTGTATCCCACTAAATTCATATGTTGAAGTCCTAATCCCTAAAACCCCAGAATGTGACTGCTATGGACTGAACTGTGTCCCCCCATCCTGCCACTGATTCATATGTTTAAGCCCTAATCTCCAGTGTGATGGTATTTGGAGATGGGGCTTTTGGAGATATTAGGCTTAGATGAGTTCATAATGGTGGGGTCCTGATGATAGGATTAGTGCCCCTATAAGAAGAGACACCAGAGACCTTGTACATGTGTGTGATTATATTCTCTGCCAATTGAGGCAGCAGGAAAACGGCTAAATTCAAACCAGGAAGAGAGCCCTCAACACAATCTAACCATATACACCCTGATTTCACACTTCAGCCTCTGTGTGAGACTGAATTTCTGTTGTTTAAGCCAGCCTATGGTATTTTGTTATGGTGACCCTAGCAGAGTAAAACAGTAACCTTATTTGGAAACAGGGTCATTGCTGGTGTAATGAGTTAAGTTAGGATGAGGTTATTAGGGAGGGCCCTAATGCAATGTCACTGGTGTCCTTATAAACAAGGGACATTTGGACACCAAGACAGACTCACATAGAAGTAAGACAATGTGAAGAGAAGGGAGATGATGGCTATCTACAAGGTTTAGACCCTTCCATCACAGCCCTCTGAAGAAACCAATCCTTTCAGATCTCTAGCCCTCAGATCTCTGAGACAACATCTACAGCAGATCTTGTCAGCCAGTTCTGTGGTATTCTGCTGAGGCATCGTAGGAAATGAATAAAATACCCTTGAAAAACTGCTGAGTAGCTGGATTTCCTGTTGGGAAATACAAAATTTATAAGGCTCATACACATGTGGGGAAAGCCAGACATGTGTTTTAGTAATAAATAATCCTCTGTGTTGACATTCTCCATTTCAATAAATGAATAGTAATTTGGGGGAATGAAAACTTGCTATGCTTATTGTGATCAAAAGTTATGAACATACCAGCTATTATTCTCTCTCTAGATATTTGAAGATTTCAGTATTTACTGTTTATGCAAAATACTGTGATTTCTTTTTACGTAACTCTGTATTAAACTTAGGTTCGAACTAATACTGTATGAGACTTGGTATTTTAGAAGCATATTCAATATGTTCCTTTAAAATGATGCCAAATGTCCACATTAATTTAGAATTGGCTGATATGCTGAATTATTTTATGACAAGCAATGTAAACTGAACTGAATATATTAGAAAACTTAAAAATAATATTGTCAAGACCTTTTAGAATTTATGATATTAAAAATATTGATTTATTTTTAGCAATAAGCTATTCAGATTCAAGTATTTGGTTTTCAGTTATAAAAGAAAGTACTTTAAAGACTATGTTAGGAACTAAAGTCGAAGCTTTTAATATAATCTCCATAGCAACATCGGAAGGAGGAAAGTCCAGTGGATCAAATGAAATATACAAATTCTAAAATTCAAATCTTAGCATTAACTCACCACAGAAAGCCGTGTTTGTATCTTGGTATTTCAGTTTTTGCTACAAACATAGGCACTTCCGGCATAGATTAACAAAAGGGCATTGCCTAAGATCTATGTATTTGATACACTCATTTTACTAAACTAACATATTATATTTATGTTCTAAAGCAATATAAGACATTCACACCAGTTGAAGCAGAGAAACAAGTAGCAGTAAATAGAATATGCAAATACTTATCAAATAAGTTTGATGACTTCATTTGAAGGATCTACTTTATTTTCACAAATTAATTATCATGATGAAATGAAAATTTATCTTTTAAACAGGTATTTAGAATTTCATCAACTACTAACAGAGCATCCTTACCATATTGTATTGTTTTCATTTTCACATTTTTAGTAAGGAAATGTTCTCTATAGGAAATTGTGCAACAACAATGCAGAGGATTTTACTATAGTTTCATGAATTTAAGATTTTCCTATAATGATATCTTACTAATATAAAGATCATTTGCTAAAGACACATACACAAAATAAATTTTTAAAAGTTTTTGAGCTAAAAAAAGATATCATAGTTAATAGTTACTCAATATGTATTACATGCCAGGTACCATCCTGGGCTCACTCTTTATATAAAATAATCTCATTTAATCCTCACAATGACCTTATTAAATAGATATGATTACTAAGTTCATTTTACTGATGAAAAGATGAAGCTCAGAAATGTTATGTCAATTTGCCCAAGATCTCCCAGGGAAGGAGTCAGAATCATGGCCGGTGACATGATCAATATATTCCCTACTGCTTCTTACAGATGTGCCTACTTCATTTGTTAATTTTACTCATGTAGTTAACACCCAAATTCTTTCAGCTCTGATTTGGTGATCTGGTCACCTCTGATCAGGAGGAGGAGATTAGTAAGGTTTGAAGGAGGGCTCCTGGAGGAAGGCACGGTAAAGAAGCAGGAAACTAAAGATACAGAAAGTTGAAATGGGAACTGAAAGTACAGCAAGATAGGATTATTTAGGTAAGAAAAAGACAAATGCAGTTTTGGAAAGGAGTGGGTAGAGAGATGGAAAAGGTAACTACCATTTGCCGAGCACCCATTATGTGCCAGGTGTTTGCCTTCATCGTCTGCTGATCCTCAGATGCCCTGCCCAGCAGGCTGTTCCAGCTCCATTCTGAGGCTCTGAGAGGTTCAGTACCCTGCCCACGCTTGCTCTCATTCTACAAAAATGATTATAAAGGAAATGCTTCTGGGGCTGAATAGGGGTAACAAGTTTTCCTGAAAAATGTACTAACCCAAAATACCACATTTGAAGATAAGTGAGGTATTATAGCATCTTTTTTTTTTCAACGTTGAAAAATGCGAATTTAGAAGATTCTAAATTTAGAAAATCTATAAGCTGAGGCAGGGCTAATGGAGGATTTTTCATTTCATGTCCTATTTTTAATTGTCTGGTATTCTTTTTTAAACTACCAGTATGGAGTTTTTTATTTAGTTAACATTCTTTGCAAATTCAAGGCACTGTGCCAAGAAACAGAGTGGCAAGAGAATGCCATTTGGAAGTGTTAGAAATTCAAAACAGAAACACAAACACAATGTTCAGCCACACACTTTCAGTTAGCAATGTGAGTTAAATAGAAGGGCTGGGCTGGACCCATTATATAACAAATATTTTGTTCTTCCACTCCTTATTGCCTAAAGACTATTGTGAATAGGGGAACAGCAGGAAAACACTTCTCCAAAGAATGAGCTACTCTAAATAACATATACAATAAAACCATTCTTCACAAGACCAAAAATGTAATAAAGGGAAACCCAGTTTTCTTATGATACTGAAAATGTGCACTTGTTTCATTTAGCTGTATGGCAGGAAGCACTCTAGGCCCCTTCCAAGCTGCTGACTCGACAGCACTTTTACGTGTGCCCTCCACCCTCCCCACGCTCCCGCCCTGGTGCCCACAGGCATGATTACCCCTGGTGCAGCCCTGCCATTGGCGTCTCTCTCAAGGGAAAGAGCTTGGGGTAGACGATCGTAAACATGGGCTCGCTGCACCGGTGACAGTGTCCCAGGGGGCAGTGCAGCAGCTCCAGGAGGCTTCTGGGCAACGAGACTGGAGACAGGAAGTCCAGATCTGGAACACAAGAGAAAAACCATGCACAAATGAAAAAGGAGACATCCACGAATTAGGCTTCTTATAATACGTCTCACTGTTAACAAGCAAATTCGGGTAGTGAAAAGTACTCCATGTGGAAAGTTTTGTTATCTGATAGGCAATGAATGAAAACATAACATTATTTGGAAATGAATTTTTTTTTTTATACTTTAGACACTAAGAGAAACCCTAAGTCTATTCTTTTAAGAGTGACCTGAGCTGTCCTGAGGTGGAAGCAAGGAAAGAGTAAGGCCAAATATTCTTCAAGAACAAAGACCAAAAAGGTTGTTGGGTTTACTCAGAGAGGGCCTGCAAACTTCTGTAAGAGACAGAGAATAAAAACAGGACTGCGACTGAAGACTGAAACAGACGTTCATTAAGTTCCTCCTAAATCTACGGGGGATTTAGAATGTTTCAAGCTAAATTACATTTACTGAAAAGAATGAAAAGCGGAAACAAAGAAATCAAAGAAAATGAAAAATAATGATTCCCTGTCTCCCTTCTGTGAGCTGTCATTAATAAAAATGGGATGTTTTTTCCTTAGTTTAGTCTGAGCACACAAAAGAAATGTTTAAAGTAAAATATCATAGTGGTCTGGGCAATCCTGAGCACAAATGTACCCTGGATTGCTACTGACAGTGAACACCAGGAGAGAGAGAAATAGTCATGATGAGGTGACACCTAAAATTCACTGAATCATCTTTGGGAAGGAAATACAAATTATCTTACTATCTTCTGTATCTGTCCAGACTTATCAATAACCATTTTGAAAAATGTAATTTGTTTATAGGTGAATCAATAACCATTTTGAAAAATGTAATTTGTTTATAGGTGAATAATTTCAGTTTTCTGTTCAGTTTTTGAAAACAACTTAATACACTCCTGGGAGGTTAATGTTAGATGTTTTTGTATGAACTTTTCTTTTTTTAAAAGCAAGGACAAAACACTTAGCAGTTTTAAAAACACTTGAAATGTATTTTCTCATGAACATTGCCTAGTGCTTTTTTAAAGCATCTCAGGTCAACTCCACATCACCTACGACATATATACACTACCAAAGACTTTCCAAACCAAGAGTTGGCATCCTGTGCTAATACTGCCAAAGGGTCCTGGAATTAATTTCCCTTTACATAAATAAATTTCTCAGATGTGAGGAGGGTGCAAGTAAAAAACCTGCTATGTTGGAAGAAGTACCAACTTTGCTTTAGGGGTAAGATCTTTGCACATTTTTTATTATGGAAGAAAGTACCTCTGTCAGTGTTCTCACTTCTACCAAATATGTGTTCCCCAAAACCAATTTCTTTCAACTTCAACCACATAGTTTAACATGTAACCTGTTCTTTTGACTGAACACCATAGCTAGTGAATGCTTTTCTGTGTCTGTAGGGATTGCTGAAGGGATCAGTGTTGACGAAATATTAAAACTTTTCTCTTACAAAAAATGTCCCATTGCACAACTGGGCAAATGTACTTAATGCCACTGAACTGAGCACTTAAAGATGGTAAATTTTATGTTAGGTACATTTTACCACAATTTTGAAAGTGAACATCAAAATAGCATAAAACACAATCCCTAAGCTCACTGAATAAGAAGTTGGGGGGGGGGGGGAAGAGAGGTCCCATGTACCTTTTAGAGAAGCGTGGTAGGTGTGATGCAGAGTCCTCATGGCCAGCTCCTGCAGAGGCAGGACGTGATCCTTCTCTGTCCCTATGGCCTTCACCTCAGCAGGGAGGAAAACGGTTAGTTGCCCTGATGAAAAGGAAAGCAGCTTCACCTCAGAAACTTGAATGGGAGCACCACAGCTACAGAAAGACACACATTCACAGTAGTGTTAGCCAAAAGGAAATGACTATATGTGCCAATAAAAATGTGTTAATCAAAATATACATTTAGAATTTTAAGACACTGCTGAATTGCCAAAATTCTTTTCAAAGTGAACAGATGCTATCCTGGATTCCTTAATAAAATCTGGCACAGAAATTTAGACTTATCATTTGGAACTGAGCTGAAATCTTCACTGAGGTCCAGGCATTGCCAGTAAGGACAAACTTACTGGAAGGAATTTCCTCCGTTGGGTCTACACAATTTGCTTTGTAAGCTCCATTTATCCTCGTTTTCTTACCCTTTCTAAGTTTATGTTTATTGAAATTTTCAAAATTAAAAGGAACAAAGAGAACTCTGTTAAGTTATACTACCTTGGTTTAACAGAATTTTTGTCTGGGGAAAACACCCAACAAGGCAAACATATTTTTAATGGTAGCAGATAACTTAACTGGGTCCTTCCATAAACTTGTGGAGAAAATATTTTTGGCAAGGTCTCTTGAATAAGCCAAGTCACATACTATTCCCTACAACCACTCATAACCAGAAGGCAGAGACATTCCTGTTCCTTTAGCTTTACAGGGTTACTATAACTCAGGTGTCCAATCTCTTTCCATTTCCTGTCTGAGATCACCAGGTTACCTAAAAGTCTCAACAACCTTTCTTCTCTAATGACAACAGGTGCCAACAAACCTTGACTCTCCAGACACAACACGAGGTAATCTCTCTATGCTCGACTAGAGACAGGCAATAAGAAGGTACAGAATTGGAAGACAGAAGCCCTTGCCTTCTTTGTTCATTACAAGTTCCTACATTTACTCATTCCTTTCATCAGAAAATGGGCTTCCCAGGTAGTGCTAGTGGTAAAGAATCTGCCTGCCAATGCAGGAGATGTAAGAGACATGGGTTCAATCCCTCGGTCGGAAGATCCTCTGGAGGAGGGCATAACAACCCACTTCAGAATTTTTGCCTCAAGAATCCCATGGACAGAGGAGCCTGGCGGGCTACAGTCCATGGGGCAGTAAACAGTCAGATACTAGAGTGACTGGGCACTATTTCATCAGAAAATATTCCCAGGGCACTTACTATACACAAGTCAAGATACTTAAATTAAAAAAAAAAAACTTCCTTCCCTTGAAAAATGTAATAATTATGATATAATTAACAATATAATTATTCTAATATTGGGTCAGAGACAATGGAGGAACTGACTTTTTCCAGTGAATTAGAGAAGGTTCGAGAGAGAAGATAATATCTGACCTAGAACTCAATTAATTTTACTCAGTTTCTCCACTCAGCTCAAGAAAAAGAACCTCGGGAGGCCACACTGGCCTTCCTACTAGGCAAAACCTGTATCTCAAAAGAAAGCATTTTTTCAAATTCTAACAGTATAGTTTGGCTTTGCCTTCTTAAATAGCATGACAAATTCTGTGTCTGGCTCCTTTTGTCAACATTATCTTTCTGGGATACACCCATGCTACTGCATGTACTATAGTTTATTCATTTTCATTGCTGTGTAGTACTGGTGAATGTATGGGCTGCTTCTAGGGCTGGGCTATACGAACACTGTCATATGTATTATTTGGTACATATAAGCATGAAATTCTGTTAGGTACATACTTAAGATCAGAATTGAGCTCATTATCCTGAGGAGAGATGGACAACTAAAAAATACACATATGCTAAAACACAGTGAAGAGGGGAGTGAGAGCTGTACCATTTCAGATAACATAATCAAAGAAAGTCTTTCTGAAAAGGAGACATTTGAGCAAAGACTTGACTGAAGAGAAGAGTTAACTCAGTCACAGCCTGGTAGGCACCTTAACTTGAGGACAAGGAACTAAGAGTGTCCACAACAGCAACAGTTCACAGGACAGAGAACCTTAGGGGAGAGAGATATAATGTACAGAGAGAGAACTCTGGAGATTTGCAGAGGGTCCCCTTTGAATATTCAGATGAGTACTGATCAGCACATGCAAGGAAACTACCTGAGGGTGGAAAAAGGAGGAGGTGAAAAGATTAAGGCTAACAGTGCCCAGCAATCCCACAGGGTTGGAAACGCTCCCGCTCTTATCAGGCAGACTTAAACATCACAATTCAAGGGGCACGGAGCAGAATCTTATCTCAGGAGCAATGAGTAATTAGTGCTAGACTGAACACCATTCCATTCCCACCCAACAAATCCTTAATAGCCATATCTGAAAGATTAAACTGTTTCCAGTTAACTTAAATGCATCCCAGGACATATATTAAGAACAGTTCTATGAAATCAAAAATATTCAGCACTCAATCAACATCATAAATTTCACACTACCCGGCATCCAACCAAAAATTACCAGGCTTTTCAATAAGCAGAAGAATATGACGTACAATGAGGGGAAAAAAATCACATGACTGAAACAACCAAAAGAGATATTAAAATTGGCAGAAAAGGCCATTATATCAATAGAAGAAAGATGTGTTGCATCCATAGCTCTCACCTAAAGCAACCAGAAATAAGAGAGTAAAGTAAGCCCTAAGTAAATAAAAGAAATAATAAAGAGCATCAAGATAATCAATAATATAGAAAACAGTAATAGAGAGAAATCAATGAAAACAAAAAAGCTGGAACATTGAGAATATTAATAAACTTGAAAAACCTCTAACTAGACTAATCAGAGAGAAGACATAAATTACCAATATTAATATGAGAAAGGAGACATTGCCCAGTTTCTACAGATAATAAAAGGGTAAGAAGCAACTTTATACTATTACAAAGTCTTTGAAGGACAAAAATCATCAAAGCTCACTCAAGATACACAGAAGCTGAACAGCCCTACATTTATGAATGAAGTTGAACTTGTAGTTAAAAGACTGGAATACTTCTCAACTCATTCTCTGAAGCCATCACTATCCTGACACCAAAACTAAATGAACACATAACAAGAAAAGAGAAGCAATTAGTATCACACATAGACACAGACAGCAAAAGTTAAACAGAATTTTAGCAAATTTAATTTAACAATGTATAAAGTCATTATGACCAAATGAAGTTTACTTAATCAAGATTGTATTAATCTTAAGGAAATAATGTAATTCACTATATTAAATCCTAAAAAAGAAAAACAATATAATCATTTCAAAAGATGTGGAAAAAGGGTCTAACAAAATTCAACATGCATCTGTAATTTAAAAACTCTCAGCAAACTAGGAATAGAAGGGAATTTACTAATCTGATAAACAACCATCAATATCGTACTTAATGTTGAAAACTGTTTTCCCCATAAAGTCAGCAAGACAAACATGTCTGCTCTCACTACTTCTATTTACCATTGTACTGGAGCTTCTAACCAGTACAATAAAGAAAAAAAAGAAATAAAAGGCAACCAGATTTGAAAGGAAGAAGTAAAACTGTCTTCTTTCTTCCCAGAAGACATGACTGTATGTAGAAAGTCCAATATAATCTTTAAAAAACCTACTGGAACTAATAAGTAGCTTGGCAAGTTTGGAGGATACAAGATCAGTTATAGGAAATTATCTATATTTCTATTGGTTACAATAATCAATTGGAAATTTAAAAAAATTTTGAACACCATATATAATACTATTTGAAATATGAACTACTTGGGGGTAAATCTGACAAAAGGGGTCTGAGACATATACACAGAACCCTACAAAAAATGGGGAGTAATTAAGACATTTATTGTGATCATAGGCTAGGAGATGCAATATTGTTAAGACTTAATTCTGCTCAAATTGATCTACAGACACAATGCAATTAAAATTACAGGCCTTTAAAAATATATATAAATTGAAACTTTGATTCTAAAATTTATATAGAAATGCACTAGTAAAAAATTTTTTTAATTTTAAGACTTAAAATTTCTTGGTAATCAAAGCAATGTATTATTGGTGCCAAAACAGGCAAACAGATCAACAGAGCAGACAGTGTATCCAGAGACAGACCCACACATACATGGACAACTAATTTCCAACTAAGGTACAAAGGAAACACAGTGGAGAAAGGCCAGTATTTTACACAAATGGTATTTGAACAACTGTATATCCATATGTAAAAAATAGGAACTTCTACACTGAGATGAGTACACAAAAATTATCATGGAAATGTTTTACAAGAAGTTACATAAAAGTGCAGATTTGAGAGAATAAAAAAAAATAGGTCCTTCAACCATAACTTGTACCATATACAAAAATTAATTCAAAATGAATTACAGACCCAAATGTAAATCTAATTCCTTAAAAATTCTATAAGACAACATAGGAGAAAACTTTTGTGATTTGGATTATAATAAACTGTGGAAAATTCTGAAAGAGATGGGAATACCAAACCACCTGACCTGCCTCTTGAGAAACCTGTATGCAGGTCAGGAAGCAACAATTAGAACTGGACATGAAACAACAGACTGGTTCTAAATAGGAAAAGGAGTACGTCAAGGCTGTATATTGTCACCCTGCTTATTTAACGTATATGCAGAGTACACCATGAGAAACGCTGGGCTGGAGGAAGCACAAGCTGGAATCAATATTGCCGGGAGAAATATCAATAAGCTCAGATATGCAGATGACACCACCCTTATGGCAGAAAGTGAAGAGGAACTAAAAAGCCTCTTGATGAAAGTGAAAGAGGAGAGTGAAAAAGTTGGCTTGAAGCTTAACATTCAGAAAACTAAGATCATGGCATCTGGTCCCACCACTTCATGGCAAATAGATGGGGAAACAGTGGAAACAGTGGCTGACTTCATTTTGGGGGGCTCCAAAATCACTGCAGATGGTGATTGCAGCCATGAAATTAAAAGATGCTTACTTCTTAGAAGGAAAGTTATGACCAACCTAGACAGCATATTAAAAAGCAAAGACATTACTTTGTCAACAAAGGTCTGTCTAGTCAAGGCTGTGGTTTTACCAGTGGTCATGTACGGATGTGAGAGTTGGGACTATAAAGAAAGCTGAGTGCAGAATTGATGCTTTTGAACTGTGGTGT